GGGGGGGTGAGTACCGTGGGATTCCGGTGCTGCGACTTCTACCTGCTCCTGAACAACGAAGACCCTCGTCGTCCGGGTACTTTTACCTGCGCCTTTGCAAAGAAACTCATCCAGATTACCCTTACCTTGGCCTGTACAATGAAGATTTTGAACTGAAACATGTTTGCCTGGATCATTGTATAAACGAAGTGTAGAAATTTTAAAGATTATAAAATTTTATGGTTTTTTTTTTGATTTTCAGGGGTAGCACTTGTTACTGATTGTTACCGAGATCGGAAAAAAAGGCCCTTACAACGAGAAGAACGTGCTGAACGATGAGCGACTCATCATCATCCGATATCGTTGTTAGTTTTTCTCCTGTAATATTAGTTATTATTTGTGAAAAATTTTATCGATTTTTAGATATTTGATGAAATATGTGGGGATGATGTTCTATAGTTGCTGTGTCCTGAAAATAAAGTGTCCTGGAATGGACAGTTCAAACGAAACGGATATGAATCGAGGGGATTGGGTGCTTATCCATTGTGTGCTTAGGCATTGGGTGCTGATCATTGTGTATGTTATATAAGGGATTAAGGAAGATTATTCAAAACGACGGCTTTTGGTTTCGGTTGCCGCTTTTTTAAGCTCCACTTTCGTGAAACGAAGACTCAGGAAGAAGAAGAAGGGGAGGGGGAGGGGAGAAGAGGGCGAATTAAGAGGGCCAAGCACTTCACAGGAGGGAAATTGAATTTCCCCCTCAATATTAGCCTGTCGGGTATGGGCACTATAAAATGTTATGGATTTCCGCATTTTTTGATTTTCAAATTTTTTAAAAAAAAGAGTTTCGGGGGTTAAGAAATCTCTTCTTCTTTCACATATCCGTCTTGCAAATTAGTTACATGTCCTTTCAATACATGGCGAGTAGGAGGTTGTATTGACGATTCCCACTCCTACCCGCATGCATAGTCCGGTCTGTGTTTACAGCTAAGGGATGGAACACAGACAGACTGCATCGTAAAATATCACCTTACTACATCTAAACGATAAAAGACAGTTCGCGCTGTAAAATATCACTTTACACATGACGCCTGAGTACAATCCTTCTGGTCTATTATTTTGTACTGTTCGTGGACCGAAATATTCCTTCCCAGCTATACTGTTATAGTTTTTATATAAAATTAACAATTTTTACTTTTAAAATTAACTTCCTTTTTGTAAATATTTCTCGAAAAACTTCTCCTATAAAATTTTGCTATAATAACGCCTATAACTTCACTGTTATTCATGCTGATTCGTTCACTTTTTTGTATTTTCCATAAACGTTAAACAAAATCTGAGCCTCATTTAACGTCCTCTGCCGTTCGAACGTTCTTCGGTATATTGCCTCTGTGCACCGAGCTTGAATCGACCGTGC